TGGAGTCCTCCTATGAAAACAGTCAAAGCCACCTTGTTGTCCACCTCTTCTGCCTGCAACATCTCTGTGTTGAATTGGGTGATGTATTCCCGGATCGACTCGCCCTTCTGTTGCTTTATGGTCAACAGGTAGGTGGCCGACCTCCTATGCCTCTGACCTGTAATGAAGTGGCTCACAAACTGCTTGCTCAGTTCTTCGAAGGTGGTAATGGTTCCTGGCTTCAGCTTGTTGAACCAAACTCTTGCCGATCCCTTAAGTGTAGTGGGAAAAGCTCGACACATGATTGCATTTGGCACGGCGTGCAAATGCATAAAAACTTGGTGATCGAGGGGATCTTTGGTCCCATCGAAGCTTTCGAACGAGGGCATCCTGAACTTGCTAGGCAGGGGGCATTTCATAACGGCAGGGCTGAATGGCAGGTTGATTCTCTGCACTAGGTTATCTATGGCGGCATGACCTTTCCCTTTCATAGCCTGCATTAAATCTTCCATTTTCGCCTTGAGATCCTCAATCTGTAGGTCGAAATAGGTAATTTTCTCTGTCTTTTCCTTAACACAGAAAGTTGTGCTTATTTGAGACTGGGGATTTCGCGGAGGCGGGGAAGGAGGTTCTCTGTGTCGGTTTCTGACTTGCCTTTATTCCGCCTCGAACTTGTGAGAAGGATTGTTTTCTCAGTCCTCCTCGTGTTGTCCCCCATCATTCAGATTGGAAGGACATGGGTCGGACAATTCTTGTTGCGGTGGTGGTCCCGCTAGGATAAGATGTCACAAGATCTCTGCATTTTGTTGGATTAATTGGTTATACTCTGATACAGAGTTTGGACCTGTAGGTCTAACGCTGCAAGCCGTTCCTGGTCATTCGGGACGTCTGGATGCTCACCTGATCCTTCTCTTTGACTGGATCCTTGCAATGATGTTTTTGTTCCAGCTACCATACCGGACCGCAAGTGCATATACCCAACCGAGTAATTGATTTAAAGGAATTGTCGTTTCCTACAGATGGCGCCAATTGTTGAGGGTGAAATCTACGCGGTCCGATACGACACCGTTTTCCTGCAAAGAAGAGAGTAGAAGATCGATGAATCTTGAAGGCACCGGTGTGGTGCCTGCCAAGAGCTCTCCGACGATTAAGTCAATCACCGGAGGTCTAAAAGAAAGGCAGGAATTTAATAATAGTTTTTTTTTTTTTTTATTTATTTATTTTTTTTTTGTCGTCTTCCTATTTATCGTCACTAGAATATCATAGTCCTAATCCTATGGAACTTATCCCATAGAAATCTTATCCTTGATAAGATTTGTCATTATCCCATGGAACTCATCCAATGGAAATCGTTATCCTTGATAACGAAATATTATCTTTCAAAAGTAGAAGAGATCTGGCGGCTGGTTAACACTTAGTTGCCTTTATCGTTAGGTCAAGATAGGTTAGGTTTATTTTTCCCTATCAGCGGATATCATTGATATTGTCACATAGTTGTTAATACAACTCTAAATTTAATTCTCTATCTACAGTACTACTAATGGAAATGCTAATGAATTTTTTTTTTTTTGGTTTTAAAGCAAAATCTTTCTTTAACAAATTGGAGGGTTAACAAGTTGATTATTTTATTTTAAAGGGTCAAGTGTAAAAAAATTGCCACATAATATAGAACATATTCAATGACACTCTCTTTAATTGGAGGGTTAATAAGTTGATTATTTTATTTTAAAGGGTTAAGTGTAAAAAAATTGCCACATAATATAGAACATATTCAATTAACCCCATTTGTTTACAAATCCCCCTCTATTTTTCAATTTGTGCAAGGGGTGAATTTAGCAATTCAAAGATCTAAAATACCCATATGACAAAACAAAAGAAATATAAAATAATAGTAATGAAGAGGCAAAATGTCCTCTATCACCTGTATTTCTCTTTTTGTTTAAATTTTTGGTCGGTCTCTCTCTTTCGGTAACTCTTTTTTCAATAACTTCCATATTTGCGGATATCATTGATATTGTCACATAGTTGTCAGTACAACTCTAAATTTAATTCTCTGTCTACAGTACTACTAACGGAAATGCTAATGAATTTTTTTTTTTTTGGTTTTAGAGCAAAATCTTTCTTTAACAGAGATGCATTTAACCCTTGTAACTTTGGTATCAGAAGCAAAATCTTTCCTTTTATCTCTCTAATTTTTATTTTTATTTTGTTTCGTACATGACGAAGATGCTAGGGATGAACGTGAACAGATATGAGTAAGTGATGTTACAGGGGTATATATAACAGTGTTCATGTAATTTGTCTCTAAGATGTTTTAGAGAGACTATATATATATATATATATATATATATATATATATATATGTATAAATTTTTGTGGTTCAATCCCAAACATCACCACCATCACATTATAACAGTGTACACCACACACCACATCCTTGAGAATCCCCTCACAGGTTATCAATCTCCGATGACCACAATTCATACTCCAAAGCATATGATGCACAATTTTCGGCAATTCCGGCAAGTTTTTTTTGATGCACCCCCAACCCAATATAAATTATTTAATAAATTTAACAATTAAAAAGCATTTATCTATCTTTATTTGTATATGATGTCATTATACATCAGAATGCCTACTTAATATTTTACAAATAGAAAACAAATCGCAACCCTATTATGCAAGTACTGACATAACTAAATTTTTAATTACAAGTTACATTACCAAACCCATCTAAACTAATCTAATTATAGAAAACTACACTTAAGTAAAGTTAGGGGTTCTAAATTACAAAGTGTTCTATTTTTAAAGTTTAGTTTTCACTTTGATCGAATTAGGAAAAATAATTACATATAGATTAATAATTATTATTTAGGTCTAAATTGTCCTTAAACTCTTATTCTAAAATACTAAATTGTCCTTCTAAAATAATATAATCTTTTCATTTCAATGAATTGATTTTTGTTGTGGCTCTAATGTCAAGGAGCAGATGTATGAATAAAGTGCTTTGGATGAGTTATTATCAGCTAAAGAGTCTATTATTGCAGATGAGAACATTTTGAATTATTCAATCAGTTTTTTTGCTAATGGAGGGCATGAAGAATCTTCAGGATGTTATTTGGTTGAAGGGATTCATGGATCCCAATTTAGAAGAGGATTTACCCTATAAGTGATGCTATGTGTTTGGCTCCTAGCCAAGTCCTACATGGAGGACCCCTTGCCCACCATGAACGTCTTTTTGAAGGCTCTTTCAAGAATTTTTAAAATATTTTTCTCTTTTTATTTCTCATTATCACAAACCAAGCAGGGCAAACAATTGTAGTTTGAACAAATTTTTATGTATATGGGTGCCATTATATTCCTTATATAATTTGTTTTATTTTCTAATGTGCAATGATAATCAAGAATTATCCTGCTTCCACTCGTATGAATAGCATACGTATAGAAATTTTGAATTATCCTTCTTCCTCTTGTATGAATGACTATCCCCATTGCTTTATTGAAAATTCACATTCACTCTTGTAAAAAATCCACCACAAAAATTCATTAATTCCGTATGCTTAAATAAACACATCACGCTATGTGAAAAAGCACAAGAAGGTAGAAAGCATTAATTTTTGAAAAAAGAAGAAGAAAGAAGATAGATAGGATTGTCATTGGCTTTGAAAATTTGAGTGGAACTAAAGTTCTTAGCAAACTCATTAATGAATTATTTGATTTAAGAAAGGCATTTTAATATTTTAAAATGAGAGCTTAAAGGGTATTTTGGACATAAACAATAATTTTCAATGTATGCATGATTATTTTGCCAAATTCAATCAAAGTGAAAACTAAACTTTAAAAATAGATCACTTTGTAATTTAGAACCCCTAACTTTACTTAAGTGTAGTTTTCCCTAGGCTTTCTCATGCTCCTTTCCTAATTCAACACCCAAGACTCTAGACTTAGTAGTAACTACCAAACCTTGAACTCGAAATAATATAGATATGGAAAGAGTGAGCTTAAAGCCCAGTGAATACAACACCACTACATCAATATAATATAAATAAATATGATCTCATAACTTCATTTTAACTTCATTAATATATAACTTCCTGCCTTATAGGCATTATAATTTTATATTCTCCTGCTGGGATAGAGTACGGATCTTATAATATATTACTCTCCTTCTAAGATAGAGTATGGATCTTATAATATATTACTCTCATTCTAAACCAGAGTATAGACTTTATATAACTTCATATATATATATACACACACACATTCAAGTATAAAACTTTCAGTTAATATACCCACCTTGGTTATTTTTCAAATTATTAATTTGTTATTCGGTAGTGTCCATATGATCATTTTAGTCCCATTTTTAATATTATAATTATATCATATTTAATTCTAAAGTGAATTAATCAATTATTACCACATTCATAATAAATCCCAAACTTTATACACAATTGTAACTAAAATTCTGATCGCAAATATTTGCATCAGAATCCAACTTAATAATTTAAATAAAATTACCATAGTATTAATTCACATAAGGTGCCTTGAATTAAGTAAAAAAATCTCCTAAAAATAAAAAATTAAGTAAAAAATAATAAAGTAAATGATATCTATGCAAATACAGTTAATTGGATTGAGTATTAAAAATTTAAACAACGAACTTTTAATATAAAATTGGGTTAAATGCAAAAAACCCCCCTAAACTATTGGGGTTTTGCAACTAACCCCTTGAACTACAAGAAGCCTCCCTGAACTATGATTTTGTTGCAAAAAAAACCCCTATACTATTAATTTTTTGCATTCCGGTAGGTGACTTGGTCGGAAGTATTAAAAGACAAATTTACTCTTACTTAAAACTATGTCATTTTGAGAGTTATACCTGATGTGGCAGTTGATAATTTCATAAACAAATAAAAATGTGACACCAATGCATTGACACAAATTTACCCTTACAGAATAGTGTCTCTCAATTCTCAACAGAACAGAAGGGAAAAATGAAAATGGGATTGTACACAACGGTGATGGATTCAATCACGGAGTACAGTGGGCTATTACCGGCAGCGTTTTTCATCATCGTAACTTTGATGGTGGTCATCTACAAAGTTGTCTACAAAATGTTCGTAGCCGTGGGGAATTACGCGGCCATCAAAAGGACCAACAACGACTACGCGCCGCGTGAGCCTGTCCAACTCAGAGACGTTACAGAGGACCAATTAAGGGCCTATGACGGTTCTGATTCCATCAAGCCCCTATTGATGGCCATCAAAGGGCAAATTTACAGTTCTGATTTCAACAACCCCACAATCAACACCCAATTCACAAAATCAGACCATGTAATTAACAATCTAGAAATGTAAATTTGCACTATTACTGCATATAACTATCCACCATCATCACAAATTAGTCACAAACATACTTGCAACAACACCACAGCTCTGCAAATCAAACCTAAACTCGGCAACGAGACCCGCAAGACCAAACAAATCCTGCCAGAGATGAATTCCAACCGGAATCGGACTCAAACTGTGGCGCCAAAATTTGACCGCTACCAACAAACCCACCGGATTTTGACACCTACTTCACTGGAGGAAAAGAAGACTACAACTGCACCCACAGTCGACGGCGTAGCAACCTACGGCCGGAGAAGAACACAATTCCAGCACCAAACCAGCGAGCAATACAAAATAACGACCAACAAACCGTGGCCGAAGAAAAATGGTACTAACGACGCCTGACAGACCCAATCAACTGTGACCGGAGAAGAATCCCGAACTTGGTATCGCACCCCGTCATCGGAATTGGACACCCACTGTACTACGGAAGAGAAGAAAAAAAAGTTGCGGGATGCTGATGGAGAGATTGAGAGTGGAGGTTGGGTTTAAGGGCTGATCGTGGATGGACCCTTAATAGGGGATGAGAAAGATGAAGTGGAATGGAAAAAGGAAAGATCAGTGAGTCGATTTTTTATTTATTTATTTATTTTCCCATTCAAGCAACGTTGGGAAGAAGATTAACAGTATAAGGTGTGTTTGGGGTTTATAAAAAGGGGTGATAAGTGCTCAAATGTGATGCATTTTAGCACTTAAGTTAGGGTATTTTAGTCCATTCATCTATCTTACTTTCCCGTTTTAGTTCTAATTTGTGTTTTTGTCTATTTTAGGTCAATAAGGTTCAAACAGGCTAAAAAGAGCCTTTTAGCTCAATTTTGGAGTTAAGAAGAAGATCGAGAAAAAGTCAGAAAAATTGCACTGTTTAAGTTTCGATCAATCGAAGGAAGTCCAAATTGATCAAAGAAAGCTACAATCGATTGAGATTAAGGCGGTGCCAGCTCAATGGATAAGGTTGCCAGTTGTCCAAAATATCTTGCCACGCCAGTTTTGATTGATCAAAGTAGTGTCTGATCGATCGAAGACAGCTTCGATCGATCGAAGCAAGTGCTGGCAGTGAGCTGTCAAATTCCCGAGCGCGCTAGAACTCCACCAACTTTTGTAGCTACGAGTTTGCACCAATTAAAGGCCTTATTTCTGACTTGTTCCCTACTCAAATAGGCTAGTATTTAAATCAAAATGAACCAATTTGTAGAGGGTTAGCAATTTTAGTTCAAAGTTTTATTTTCCAATAGTAGAAATAGCTCTTAAATATTTCTCTCTATAGAATTAGGGTTTTGGAGCAAAACAAAGAGGAAGAAGATGGTGCCTACATTGAAGAAAACCCTTGAGGGTTCCATGACCACTACCATGAGTGGCTAGATCATTCTCTTGGGGCTAGAGATAGCCCATAGGCTTGCTTCCTAAACTTAGTATTTTGTAGTTTTTGGGGATTTATGTCGTAAATAATGTTTTGACCATGAATTTGTATAGATCTTGAGTTTTTACATAATTTGTATGGATTAATTCTTCCAATTGATCTTTTATTTCTATCCATATGTCTATGTATGCTAGAATGAATGGTTATGTGCTTACACTAGGTTTTATGAGTTTGATGCATGTCTATGTGTGTTGAAATTAAAAATCTAGTGATAGTCAAGGCATGGTGCTTAATTGATTACTCTCGTGGTTTGTTTGATTGATCATGCTTATTTTTTGATGGATTGTGCTGCCTCCTTAACTTAATTAGTTTAATTTCTATGTCATTAGTGTAGTTGTAGTGTAGTTGCTTTAAATTCCTAGATAGGTAGACAATCCATTCTTATTGTTTGATGATCCATGCTTATGAGTGCAAGTAGTACATTTCTCTAGATTTTTGTGTGTGCATTAATTGTGGGTTTATTGAATGGTAAATGGCTTTATTTGATAGGTTGTGCTACTCGCTAGATTGATTAGACAATTTATGCTTATTTGCCATCCATGCTTAGTTTCCAATTAATGGTACACACACATTTGTTTTACAACATGAAACCCCCTAAATTTACAATTGCTAATGTTTAGTGAAGTGAAGCTTAGTGGTGAACTCTATGCCCCAAGACCTTTCTCTTATTCTCTTTACCTTAATCTCTAGATTGATCTTAATTTGCATGTTTTTAATTGAATCATTAGTTTAATTCAACCAACCAAAACCCCTCTTTGATCATTCGACCTACTAATCCGATATTGATTCCGTAGTACCTTGCAAATCCCTTGGGACGATTCCTGCTCACTCTTGCTACGTTAGTAGTAGTAGTGGTAGTGGCTCTTCAAACTCAAACTCGAACCTAGAAAGGAAAACATCAACGGAAAAAATTAATCCGTAAAAATAGGAAAAAAAGAAAGGAAGGAAAATGACAGGATCATTACACCAATCATAAAAGGTATAATTAATATATCTTTCCTATTTTAATGGAACTTTAAAACTTATTCCCTTTGTCTCAAAATACATGTCCTGCATGGGGAATCTAACTTTTTATGGTAGTGGAGTTTTAATAGTTTTTTATTGTATTGATAAGAGTGAAGTTTCAAATATGCCCTTACTAAAAGACAAAATAGTACTCTGTAATTAGTGCAGTTGTTTAGTTAAAAGGATGGTTTAGGAATGTTATAAAAAATAGTACATTAAATTTTAGAATATGACATGTTTCTTGGGATATCCTTAAATGAAAAGATTGACAAGTATTTTGAGACGGATGGAGTAATATTTTAAGACCAAATTAGCCTTTAAATTCTAACATCTTTATTTTCTTTCTCATTTGTATGTATACGTACATGTATATATATAACCTTTATTATTTACATTTTTGTACAATTGTCTTTATATTTATGGTTATATATATGTAGCTCATGTTGATGGAATTTTTAGTTTTCACCATTATTAAGTTTTAATTGAAGTAAGGACAATACTTGGGTCCTTGAACTAATATTATGAGATTGAGTGATAATTGAATTAAAATTATAGAATTTGAGTTTTAGTTAATGTGTAAAAGAAAATTAAGAGTGGTTTCATAATTCATACACGATATGGTTAACTATATATGTTTATATATATAAATATATAAACATATATATATATATATATATATATATATATATATATATATATATATATAGTTAAATAAAATGAAGGAAAAGAATTGAAAAAAAGAAAAAGGAAAGGAAATAATCTATTCACATGAGTGTTTTTTTTTCTTTTTCTTTCTGTTCACATAATATTGAGCGCACGCACACACACACACACACACACACACATATATATAAGCAGTTAAGAATTATTAAAAAAATATAAAATAAAGAATGAATATAATATATATGTAATAAATGAAAGAAGGAAGATTATATATGCGTATGGCAGGAGAGGAAAATGTTAAGTTGTAAAGGTTAATTTGGTCGTAAAATGTTAAGTTTTAAAGTTCAATGAAAATAAGAAAGATACATTAATTATACCTTTTGTGATTGGTTTTTCAACCAATGAGAGGCGCGACTGTCCTTCTACAGTCGCATGCGTGACTGCAGCTAGTAGTTCTCTATTCAATGAAAAGCTTAAATGCCCAGGCTGTGGAAAAGCCTTCCAAAGGAGCTTTAATTATATACATGCGATAAACAAGTACTTGTCCAAGTGCCTTGTTGATGTGTTCTACCATGTTTTGTTATCATGAGACTTACATTAGGCTAGTCTTGGGCCTTCGCGACCCAAGTCGTCGTCTAGGGCCTCCAATTTGGACAAAAAAGTTTATATTATTAGGATTTTTTATTTATTTATTTTTTTTTTTTGGACTTCACATTCACGTAGGACCTTAGAAAATATTGGGCCTATCTGGACTGGCAAGTGACACATATAATCTAAGGGCCCGTATGACATGCAGTATGTTTTAGGTGTTGTATTTTTTGTCAATACCAAAACAACCGTTTTGTTGTTGGAGTGTTTTGGGTAGAAATCGGAATCTTTTTTGGTAACGAAAATTTGTTTTGAGAAATTCCAAAATTTTCTTTAGTTCTTCTAATACAGTACCAAAACACATAATATCACCAATTTGGTGATATGGGTTTGGGCTAAAAAATTTGGTATATTATGAATTATTTCAAACCAATATGAACCATTCTAAACATGATATATGCCAAAATTTGAAGACTAATATTAAAAAAATAATATCATAATATATTCTAAACACGCCTCAGTGTTTGACACATGTAACACACTAAGTCAATTGGTAAAAGCTTCAGAGGAAACTTTAATATATATGTGCTATATAATATAGATATGAAACATCTAGAGTCTCCAATAACACTTTTTTATACCTTAGTCATTTATGTACATTCAATATCACATGCACCCACTTCATTTTACACTTACCAACTAGTCTATTAATATATTGGGCCTTGTTGCTAGGGTTGCAACTCGGGCGGGTTGGGCATGTTTGAGATACAACTTGAGCATAACCCAATATATGAAATACTTAACCCTAGCCCAACCTTAACCTTATCCTCAACTCTAATTATTCAACCTGCCATAACCCATTCTTTTACTTTTAAACTCGAGTTTGCAACTTGGGCCTAGATTTTAGGTTAGAAAGTCGAGTTAATTCGGGTTACCCATATAGCAAATCTTCATATTAAAATTTTAATGTGATGTTGAACTAGTTTCAGATTAAATTACTCTTAAAAAAAAATTTATTGCAAATTTTTAATAAATTTCAAACAAATTTTTTGAAAATTAGTTCTCCTAAATGTTAACATAAAATAAATTAAGATTTAACAAAGAAATTTAAAAAGAAAAAATTGTGATCATAGTTTAAATATTTTGCATAATGTATTTAAAATAAATATATGTATAAATAATATTAAAATTTGGGTTCGGGTTGGCTCGGAGTACTAGCATCTCAACCCAAGGCCAACCCTAAATAAATTCAGGTTGAGATTTTTCAACCCAAACCCAGCCCTAATTGTAAAAA